CTGCGCACGTTGGGCGAGGAGCCGTCGCTTATCGGACACCCGCAGATCGCGCTCCTGACAATGGCCACTTAAATGCCATTGCCAGTTGTAATCTTTGCTAAATTGCTGCCTCGGCTACTGTTGTCAACACCCGCCCGCGCTGCTGCTCTCCCCTTTTGCTCCGTTTGCAGCTCGTTCGCTCCGGAGGTTCCACATAAATCGCTCGCATTATCTGCGCACTTGCATCGCAGCCACAGGACTGGAATGGGAACAGTGCCAGTATGGCACGGGCTCCCAGACTGTCGTCGTCGTCGTCGTCGTCGTCGTTCTCGCCTGCTTATCAATCTCGGCTCATCTGCACGCAGCCACCGAACAGAACATCTTCTGCGAAAAATAATTCCGCAACTTGTCACATTTTGTAAACGCGGAGACGCCTCTGCGCCAGTTGTCGGCTGCCAATGGTAATGGCCAGGCTCTGCTTGCTGCCTTGCCGAGTCCTTGAGTGTCACCTAGACTATTTTTGGCAAGCCTTGCAACAGTGCAACTGCAACTGCAACTGCAGCAGCAGCTTCCATTGCATGGTATCGCCTCAGTAAAGCCTGACTTATGCTTGAATTCTTGACTTTTCTTGTTTTGCCTGTTGTTCGCTTAGAGCCGCATTTGCATATAGATTTATTTTTATGGCCATCACAATGGATTGGGGACGTTGAAATCTCTTGGTATTTATGTGTGAGCCTCACTACATTTTGAATAACTGGTTGCAAATACCCGAAGGTGTGCTCTGGGAGTAATGTGATATGGCCAGACCAGCACTACGAGCTAAATAGCTGAAGTCTGGCTGAGCATGTTGATAATGAGTGCATACAGACCGCGATAGCACGAGATAGCCTAAAGTTATCTGCTAATTCGAGCACCAAATATCATCTCCCACACATGAGAAACAATTTCTCGACTCACATATCAAATATGAAATCATGTATCGTTCTCACTTTGGTGCAGAACAAAGCCCCCACTTGAGTGCTGGGAGTGGAGAATTGAGTAAACAGTGAGAATTGAGTAAAAGCTCGTGTAGTTAATTGTAGACCACAACTCGAACCATTGAACTTTTAAAAAGCAATCAAATTTGCGCCTAATGCGATCTCTTTGAGGCGGTTCCAAGTGCTGATCCACTTGATTGCTGGCATTGTGTGGCTGAGACTTAATAGTCTTTTTATAGCTCCACTTTTTCAACTTCAATTAATGAAGTGTCGAGTTGTTAACACTAAAAACAGCCGAGCGGTACTAGCTGTGCTCTGCCCATCAGGACGGCCCTAGGGTCGGCACTAGTCGCAGCCTCGGGCACTATGCTTCCATTTCCAAACATCTTGCCCACCAACAACAAAATGAGCCCCGAGACACGCTGGGAAAAGCCGAGCAGCACCTCTTGCTTGGAAAACGTAAACAAACAAATTAAAACGAGTCGAATGGCAGCAGCGGCAGCAGCAGCGGCTGCTCCCGACTTTCGTCTCGGCGTGGCCACCAGGTGAGAAATCGACTGGGAAGTCTCTGGGAAGCCAGCAGAGCAAATACAAACAGACAAAAGCAGCAGCAGCAGCAATGGCAGCAACGGCAGCCGCAGCCACAGCCACAGCCACTGGCACAGCCACAGAGCAGAAGCTCTTTAATCTTCAGCTGCGGAGTGTTGGAAATGCCTCAAAGTTATCTCTTAGATGAATTGAGTTATTAATGGGCGGACTTTTTGGAGACAACTAGTCGTGATCTGGCAGTTAACTGCGCTTTAATTGCTCATCAGGCAGCTCGAAACGAGACTGTGACGAAAGGGAAAACTGAAACAGGCCAATTAATCGAGAGTTGATCAAAAAATCGTGCTTTAGTAGATAAAAGCTAGGGTGAAGCTTTAGACAGCTGGAAAAGAGGACTATTGGGAAATATATCGAACTACTTAGAAGAAGGAAGAGTGACGATATCATATAGAAGACTTGGCTTCAGATTTTCATGAAACGAGTTGAGATCTATAAACTTCTGGTGCAAATTCGCAAAAGGCATTCCCAGAGATTCTATATATTTGATGACTGAACCAATTGTTTGGGTGTCTGTTGAATGGTTAACCTGACCGAAAATGACTGTGGGAAAAAACAGTTGGAGCGTCAAATGATAAACCTGTTTGTCAATTAAACAAAAATATTGTAATAGTTGATAACAGAATGAGCAAACAGAGCCCTGAGCCCTGCACTGCACACAGAGGCAGTGAAGGCAACGGAGGCAGCGGAGGCAGCGTCCGCAGATGCCGTTGATGAGAACTTCCCAGAACCAGAATGCGCTGCAGTGAATGTATGAATACCAGAACGAGAATACAACAACCTGTCAACCCAGCCGAGAACGGCTGGGGCCCAAAGGCTGGTGCTGGTTGCTGGTTCACTCTGGTTCGATGTGCTTGACGCCCGTCCGTTTCATTATCGCCTTCGACTACAGCTTGGGGCTGGGGCCAGGCTTGGATTGTGTCTCCATCCACCTTCGCCTGCCTTGGCTTATTGTTTAGTGAAGCATTTAACTTATAAATATTGTGTGTGCCAGAGAAGAAAAGTGTTTTGTGTATGTGATACCGTTTTGAAATGTGCCAGCAACAGAGACAACAGAGAGACAGCAGCCGACTAGCCAGCCAGCCAGTCAGCCAGCCAGTCAGCCAACCAGCCAGTCAAAGTGGAGGTGTTGAGGACGTCGGGGGTCTTCTCAGTCGTAGACGCAACGCCATGAAATATTTCCCATGACAATTCTGTTTGTTTTTCGTGTATTGTCTGACTGACTGCCATGGTCTTGGCACCTAAGCGTCGCTAGCGTTCACATCGTCGCCCACTCGTTGTCCAGAGCACACTCGGTTCACACACAGGGCACATCACAGACACACACACACACACATGTATACAGTTGGCCAGGTTCACAATGCCTGTGAGTGCACTCTCTATTTGCTTTATCTATGCCCAGGCGCTGTATCTATTCTGTATCTTACTGTCGTGCAACATTTCCCAGCCAGAGACTTGTTGAAAAAAGCCCTTCAGCTCCATCCCGAAATGGGTCCCAAAGAGCCAAGCCCTACTAAATGGTCAGCCGAATGGCCTTATGCCGGCAATTTTGGCAGCCGTCTAGCACGAGTTGGCATCCCAGATATTCCAAGAACCAGTTTCAACAGCTTACGGCAAAGCACTAGCACGCCTTCTCAATACCCTTTCTCTCAACATGAACAAGGCTTTAACATTAACAGCGATAGCTTAACAGCCAACTTAACATAATTCGCAACTTTCGTATGCATAAGTATTTGTATTTGCCGCTTTTACAAAAGTATGAATTGAAGGCAGTCGTCTGACCGGGACTGTAATTTTCAGGTGTTGCACATGCCACATACAAATTTCATATGAAAGGAGTTTCGAAAGGGTAGACTTATTAGCTTCACAAGTGCCGCCGAAATTCTGTGAAATAAAAATATTCAACGGCTCCAATGCGATTGATAATTAAAATCGTTTCGAGATGGGGCCGAAATTTCATTCCTGGTCAGGTCAACGTCTGTGCGATTGGGACACTGGTATCCAGTCCACCAGTTGAGGAACTTGTCGGATGGGACTGGCTGGATCAGCTTGTGCATCTGCCTGCATAGGGCGCAATAGGGATGCCTGTTTTTGTGGATTCGATATTTGGAATGCCAATCGAAGAATCGCTGGTACTGCAGCGGATCATTTGACAACTTTTCCAGATGCATAGCCAGCATTTCCGGAGTCTCAAAATCAGCGCTGCTGATGTAGGAGCCAGGCGGAATCAAGCCAGAAACGTTACCACGGCCAATGATGACTGGCACCACGTAGTGGGCCAACGCATTGTATATTTGCGGATGCACAAAGTCCGGACATTCACTTGGCTCAAAGATCAGCATGAATTTATACTGACCGCAACTGGGGAGAAATTAGATTGGAATTGAGCTAAAGCAAAGAGACAAAGAGGCAAGAGGAGCTAGAACACCTACTCTTGGTATCCATGACAGGTTATGAAGGCATCCAATTGAAGGTAGTTTCGCAGCTTCTGCAGATAGAGACTTTCGGGCAGGGAATGCTCGTTGACTTCGTACACCATATAAAACACGAGACGCTGTTTCTTTTGCACTCTCAATTGGAACAGAGAGAGCAACTCGCTTGAGAACAGATCCAATAAATTGAAGTCAATATCGGCGAATGTCTGATGCTTTTTATCAACAGCCGAAAAGTAGTAATCGGTAAATACTATGTCGGAGTCGCGCCGATACGTCATGGAGTAGTTAAACACCGAAGCACCATGCTCCAGTAGTGGATTATGTGCAAAGCTCAATGGGTTTCTGGCCGCAAATACCGCCAAAAAATTTGGAACACGATTTAGCCGTTCCAGGCCGGCGAGTGAGAAATTTCGATCAGCATTAAAGACAACGGCATGAATCGGCCCTTTAGCGTATTCCCGGTTGTTGGTCAAAACGCAGCCACATTGCAGATATTCCCACGGGACCGGGCTCTGCTCGGTATTCCAAAGCAGTATAGTCTTTGCGCTGGGACGCTTTAGCAGGAGTCTTCTCCGGCTGCTGTGGCCTATGAAACGCATCATCAACAAAATGATCGCAAGACAGACGACGCTCTTCAAAATGGTTAAGTACAAAAACAATTTCTGGCGATCGCTATCGTGCTCGTTCATGACCATAGAGTTGTTCGATATTTTTGACTCCTCGGAGCCCAGTGGCACGGACTTGTCCTTGACCATCTTGACGGCTGGCACATGGAGCAGCTGGGAATGCATTTCGGATTTATGTGTTTTGCTATCAATTTTGTCGGCTGACATTTTATGAATTTTTCGTTGGAGTTCTCAAATATTAAATGGCATGTTTAATAGAAATATACAAATGAATCAAACAGAAGCCCTAATAGCAGCATCAATGCCAACCTTGATCGAGTTAACAAAGCTCTAATCAACTTGTATAATCCTTGGTTTGAATGGGAACTCACGATGCATAGTCTGGTTTAAAATATTTTATTCAGATTAGATATACTATTATATCAGTTATACAGTTGATTATACAGACAATTGAAACAGTAGTAAACAACTTCATTTCTTATAATGTCGTTCAGTTTAGTTTAGTTAGTCCTCGGAGCCCGGACACTGGTAAACTGTCCACCACTCAAGGAATTCAACAGAGATGCGCTTGCGTCGACTCCTCCGCAGCTGCTTGCATAGGGCGCAGTAGGGCTGCTTGTTGTAGCTGATGACATACTTGGAGTGCCACCAGAAGAACTGCTCATACAGTAGCGGCTGTGAGGAGATCATCTGCAGGTGTTGTGCCAGCTCGAAGGGGGAGTGGAAGTCGTCGCCGCTTATGTAGGAGCCCGGTGGTACCAGGTGGCTGAGATTACCGCCTCCAATCAGCACAGGCACCACAAAGTTGGCCAGCGCCGTGTAGATCTGCGGATGCACATAGTCCGGACAGCGTCTGCTCTCGAATATCAGCATAAACTTGTAGGGAGCGCAGCTGATGGCGAAAAGGAAGAATAATATAGTCTAAAGTTAGGCGAGCTCTGACTAGAATTAGTTACTTATTGGAGGCGTGGCAGCTGTCAATGTAGCTCAGTTCCAGGTGCTCGCGCATCTGCATCAGGTAACGGCCCTGTTTGGTGCTGGCATTCATATCCTTGCACTGCATATACATGGCCAGATACTGCTTGAGGCGGAAGTTAAGGCGTAGGCGGGAGGACACTTTTGTCGGCAAACGGTTCATGAAGCTAATGACGGGTGCTGTGAAGTTGAGGACACGCTCAGCTGGGTTGCCGATCCTTGAGAAGTAGTACTCCGCCCACACCAGATCGGAGTCCCAGCGATAGCTCATCGAGTAGTTAAAGATGGATTCGCCGTGTATGGTCATCGGATTCTGATCAAGATTTAGCGGATGCAAGTTAGCATAAACCACCAAATAGTCGGGAGTGTGTGCGACCTTATCGAGCCCGTCCATTGAGTAGGGTCGATCTACGTTGACAACGACGGCATCTATGGGCCCTTTAGTGTAGTTCCGATTGCTGGTTATCACACAGTGGCACTGGTTACTGTCTTGTCCGTTGACATTCTCATCGTTCCACAGAAGTATGACCGTTCTAGGCTCGTATTTAAACTCTCTGTTGATATGTCGCGGCACGAAGTGCAGCAATACGAATATTCCCGAAAGGCATATAATCCATTTCAAGATCAGTTTGCGACTGTTCGTCAGTCGACGCGATATACCTGAGCTACGCGACGGCGGAGGGATCCCAATGAAACCATCTGTGTCATTATTTTGTGAGCTATCCTCCACATCGCTTTCCTCTAGTCTCCTGCGCTGTGGATGTTGTCGACTGCTAAGAATTTTGTCAATGGGCATGCCGCGAATCGTGTCGATAGGCATTTTGCTCTATTTTATATATATGTATAGGTGTATATCATATGATTTTTGTCATACAATAGGTTTGCACTTTACCCAAGATTTTGACTTAAATGGAAATGTTTATGTCAATGACAACTAAGTTTTCTACGTTTTTCTCAAAGTAGCTTGTATTAGAAATTCAAGTCTTGAAATGGAAATTCCAAGGAGACAGCGAAATATATGATAAGGATAAAGTTATATAATATAATTGTATATATATTGAGAGAAAGAAAGTAAGAGATCGAGTTAGAGAGAAAGAGAGAGAACGAAGGAGTAATCAATCATTCCATTTTCAAATTTGCAATCGCAGAGTTTTGCAATGTGGCCGTTCTTTGTGTCGATTGAAAAGTGCTGCCGGTTCCTGAAATTTAGCATAAAATTCACTTTCCCTTGGCTCCTTCCGCTCGAGTGCCCCTCCTGGAGTGCCATGCCTGGCATTCAGTTAAACAGGAACCAAGCAATCAATCATTTTGGCTAAGCCATCAGCAACATGACAAATCTAGCCACAAACTTTGCGTAGCTCGCATCGGTGTCAGAAATTGAGGAAATATTGTGCTCCTCGTCTCCGTCTCCGACTCCAACTCCGAGTCTGAGTCCGACACTGGCACTGTCTGGTAATCCATTGATGATATATCACTGCAATTTGGAATATTCATTTGCAACTTTTGTCGCTGCTCATTTGAAATGCGGCACACAAGCCCGCCAAGGATGTGGCTGGCGTGGGCTATTGGGCTGGTTAAGAACGTGCTGATGGCACTGACTGACTGTCAAAGACTTGAACCTGGTATTGCTGGAGAGGCAGTCAGATTTTTCCGATTGACAAGCACTTAAGTGCAACAAAGACAGAGACAGGAAGCAAAAGGGGAGAAGAGAGTGCGAGGGAGAGAGAGTAGGGATTCGCCTGGGCACGTAGCAACAGTTGCCATGCAAATTGCCAGCGCCAGCTTTATAAATAATGCCTCGTTTATGTGCGAAAGTGAAATTAGAATCGCAGACGAGCCATAAGCACAGAAAAACGAATTAAGAGCAGTGAAAGAGGAAGAGGCAGAGGTGGTGGAGGCGGGGGCGAAGGAGTGCTGGTGTAACTGCAACAGAAGGCTAACCACATTAGAAGTTGGGGGTGAAGCGGCGACTAAGCCCAAACGAAACACATATAAATTTTAATTATTCCAGCGAATCGCTGCCAAGGCTGAGGCTGAGGCTGAGGCTGAGGCTGAGGCTGTGGCTGACTCCAAAGGCAGCACAAAGCGTGGCTAAACAAAAGATGCGATACGATTGCATTTGGTGAAGGCTGTGAGACGTCGTAGCCACAACCTGGACCTGTGGACCTGGACCTGGATCTGGCCCTGGCCCTGGCCCTGACTGTTGCTCCTTGCTGTTTGTTGCTGGGCAAGTCGCAAACTTGGGGAATGGAATTGAAATTCCATTGTGATTTTTGGGGGCGTTGCCGCGTCGAAAAATGCAATAAATATGCATATGAGAGAGCGTTTCGCCGAGAATTATGGCTCACAGCGTACAGTAAAGATTTGAATAATTTGGTTCCCACACTCCTAAAGTTAGCTCCAGTTCCAAATCCTCAAGAGGCCACCACAAATATGATGTGAATGCGAAAAAGTCGCCAGCTACACAGATTCTCGACTCAGTCATAATTTTAATTAAAGTTATTAATAGGCCACGTCAAGATCTCCAATGTGATTTACCTGACTCTCGCTCTCGCTCTGCCTCTCTCTCTTTCTCTCTCTCTCTTTCTGCGTCTATCGTCTGACTCAGCTGCTGAGGTGTCCTTAAGCCTTGGCTCAATTAAATGCCGCACACATTTTGTTGGCAACTGCTTAATTATCGAGAGCCGGCTCCGAGAACCCAGTTCAAACGTATCAAACAACATGCAACAATAACAAAAGGACGCCGGCGGCAAAGTCGCCACCTCAGAGACGCCGCACGAAATTGGACTTGATTGCGCCGCTGTTGCTGTCTTCGTAGCCCCGATATATATTGCTAGGAATTAACATGTAATTATCTCAGCTTGGTCAAACTCGAGAGCAAGAAACGAAACGAAATGAAACGCAACGAATCGCCGGCGACACCCAAACCAAAAACAAACTGCGTCTTGTTACCGCAGCCAGGACGCCTCGTCGACTTGTGCGTGGCCTAGGCCACAGCTGCCTACAGCTGCGGGGCGTGTCTTAGTCTGACTTGGTTCGATTCCCAATGCCCTGACTATTCGACTGCTCGACGGCTCAACGGCTCGACGGCTCGAGAGACTCCTCGTTTCTTTGACCACCCGCGCTTGTGGCGCTAAAGTTGTCAGTTTGACCCTAATTAGGTGTTATCTAACTGACCCGGCTATTGGTTAACTGTGTGGTTATTGATGTGCCGACACGTTTTCACTTCTTCATCTCTCTCTCTCTCTCTCTCTCTCTCTGTTTCTCATTCTTTCTACGTTGCTTCACTTTCACTGGCCACTGCCATTTCCTGGCTGTGCGTTCTTGTCTCGCCATGATTCACCATGTCCCACGCTTTATTTGGCGCCACTCGTCGACTGTCACAATCGACAGCTGACCCACAAAGCAACGCTCAGTCTCACTCAAATCTCAGTGATTATCACTGCCCGGCACCGGGCCATTGTCCGAGTGCCTATTGTCATTATCAATATAAATAAATCCCCTTAACCGAATTACCCCCGAGGCTGTCTGTCATTCGCGTAAACAGTTTGATGATGGCAATCAAGTCAAGTTGGCCCCGTTGGGCCAATTGCTTCCCCTGCTCTTATTGTCACGATCAACGCGAATGCGCTGGCCTCCGCCCGGTGGCCCCCACTGGATGACACATACGCCTCAGTAGCCCGGATGCAGGCACTTGCTGTCCGCTGATTGATGCGCAGGCGGCAGTCTCCGTCTGTTATTGCCGCTGCTGCTGCCGCTGCTGCTCATTGCTCAGCTTTCCACTTGTCGTCGCTGTGGAAATACGGAAAAGTGATGTAAACCAGGAATTCCGCTCGACATCTTACGAAATTTTGAATAAATAAATCAACAGCAACAGCAACGTTCGTTCCTTAAATGTTTCTTAATTAGCTCATTGCTTAAAGTAATATGAATTCAGCTAAACTGGAATACAGCTAGAATCGTAGATAAGTTTATGAGAAGATGTTCTAAGAATAAGTAGAACTGATTACCTTAAGCTATATGACTCTGACCTAAGTTAAGCTTATTCGAATTGAAGTAGAAGATGGAAATCAAGGTTTATGAACTAAGATTCTCTCCTCTACTAAATTTTTAATGAAATTGTAGTAGCTGTGGATGAGCTTTATTGCACTTTTTTACATAAAGTGCTTTGCATTCATTCCTTGAGCTTTTCTTTCTTGTTACTTATCTCTATTGGAATAAAATCCAATCTTCTGCCATGGAAACTTTCAAAACTTCATAATAAATACTTGTTTAATTAACTTTACTACTCTCTTTGTTTAAGTTCATCTGCCTTTGCCTCAGCTTCAGCTTCAGCTGCAGCTTCGGTTTCTTCCTGTTTCGCTCTTTCTTTTTCCTTTTATGCAGTTTTTATTTACTAAACTCATAATCTAAGTTCCTGTTTACTTTTAGCTCGCATTTGGTATTTCTACTACTATTCTGTTTGTGCTACGTAATTTCTTGGCAGTCTGTTTTCGCTTCCTCTTCTGTCATTCATCTTCTCCGTTCCGCGCGCCTTTCGGCAGTCATGCATATTTCATAGTCCTTTTGTCTCCCTTTGCGTTCCTCCCACATTTCGCTGCAGTCCCCGGGGGGCGCTACCGTGACGACGAGACACGGACAATTATGTAAATATACGGAGGCGCCTGCTCTGGCATAGACGCCGGGGAATACAATGGGACAACCGCAATTATTGCCGACCATTTGGCAAATGAATGCGTGACAAAACGCAGAGAAAACATCGAGAGGAATAAAAGACGGAGACGCAGAGACAGCCAGGCGCAAGGACATGGCCGAGGTCAGGACAATAGACGGCGCAGCGGGAGTGGCAGCGAGGTCAAAGGTCAGCCGCGCTAATGTTGTGCTAATTGCGATTGGAACGCGGCCCAAACAACAAGCGACAAGCGACAAGTGACACGAGACAGTCGGCGCTTAGCCTAATTGAAGTGTTGGCCTTGTCCACGGCAAGATTTACGACAATTACCGAAGGAGGTAGCAAAGGCTATTGCTTTCAATAGTCGACCACCCAGTAGGGCAGCAAGAAAGCGACCTGATGCTTCACTCTCTGTCCGCTGTCCGCTGGCTGCTGCCTGCTGCCTGCTGTCTGCTGTCTGCTGTCTGTCTGCGTGCAGCATCCTGGCTGGCGGTCCATGAGCCTAACCCAGCTCCAATGTCGCTCGAGCTGCTGTGGGGGGCCGCCTCGCATGCGCCTCGTAACTTGATCCTGCGCACGCGTGGCCCAAGCAGCCGGCCTGCTCGAACTTTGGCGTCCTTCGGTGCTTGTCGGGCCAACGGCTGTGATCTTTAACTTTTTTCGCTTTCGCTCAATTGGCTGCAGTTATGGACCGATCTGGCCGGGCCAGGTGTGATGTGTGTCGATAGCAATGCAAAAAAAAAAAAAAAAAACAAAAAACAAAAATGAAACTGTAACTGGATCTGCAGCAGCAGCTCGGTTTCGGTCAGAGTCCTTGCAGAGGTGCAGATCGTATGCAAAGTAGACCACCAATTGCTTAAACGGCTGCTGTTGCCTCAGGGGCCAACAACATTGTCTGCTCTTTAGCCATACCCTAACTCTTGCTAAGGCTCCCATGATGAAGTGAGCGCTTTTGAGGTTATTTAAGGAGAAGACTCTCAAGTAAATGAGCTTTATATATGCTAAGAGGAAGAAGGAGTCATGAGAGAAGCAAAAGCAAGTAGTAAGCAGTAGTTAAGTTGAAAGTGTATTTAGAGTTCGTGTTGTTCTTTGTGCGGTGCTGCTGCTGACCACCAAAGTTGATTGAAATTTTGGCAATGACCCCAGAAATTGTTGTTGGGCAGCTGCTGCTGTTTGACTGAATGTGGCAGCTGCTGCTGCTGGTGCTGCCTGGCATCAGCTTCGCCCACTGAGCAGGTCGAGGAGCGA